GTGTGTGTGTGTGTGTGTGTGTGTGTGTGTGTGTGTGTGTGTGTGTGTACTTGTAAATTGGGAGGTGGTTTATATGGCCAGTTAGTTTTCCATTAAGCAATTTATATATGCTTGTTTCTTGGCATTGATTTTGGGCACCACAATTTAACACCCCACTTCGTCCCTCTTTCCCATCTGCACTCCTCCTCTGTCCTAACCCTTCCAAACTTTGTCTTTGAGTGAATGCTGCTATTTTGATCTCAAGTGGTTGATATTTCTATCGAATCCGTACTTCCCTGGTATTATTGTTACCCCGACAGACATATCTCTTATTTGGCTGAAAATTGAGCCAGTTCCAGACCTCAGGGATTGCTAAGGGCCATAGTCTTGGGATTCTACCAGTCTTTACCCAGAAAGCCTAGAATTTTTTTTAATGATTTTTGAGTTTTATTTCACCTTTTTCTCCCACTCTGTCTAGGACTTCCTAATGGATCCCTTTCAGACCAATTGGTTATAACAGAAAACCATGGTCTCAGGGTCTCAGAGGCTGCTGTTCTGGTCCGTTACTCCATCTTCAGTTTTCTTCAGCCTGCTTACCTCCAGATGGAAGAGACCAATAATCTGTGTTTTAAATAGCTGCTGAGTAGCTTTTAACTCCCCAGTCACTACTCACTAAAGTAGGATATAGAACATTGTCTTTGTGAGTTGATATGCAATTGACCTAGGTGTCTCCTGAGGCCGTAGTCCAACAAACCCTTAGACCATATGACTCATACCTTCAAAGTCTTTAGCTATGTCTAAAAAATTTTCATAACTTTGCTCTCTGTATTCTCTACTACATTCATGGGTATATTTGCAGCAAAAGTAAATATACATGGAGAAGTGTCCTCTGCCAACCTTTTATATATGTGGGGATAATCCAACTGTCCCTCTCACACTGGCTCATCCTGTGTATTTATCCATGGATCTACTTGTAGATCACCATTATTGTAGGATTATGTATGTAACCACATGTACTATGCTGCCTTTAACTCTTGCACCTCTCCCAGTATCTTCCCTTGCCCCCATCGTTTTTTGATGACTTCCCTCACCCAAGTTTGCCTTCACCATCTCCCAAATTAATTTGTCTACCCTCTGGTTAGTAATTCACCCTCCCTTCCCTCATACCCCTGGTAACCGTTGAATAATGTTTCTTTAGTGAGAAAACCTTTTGTTGACTTTTTATAGTACCCCATCCAATATTTCAGTCAGCACAATGTTCTCCAGGTTCATCCATGCTATAAAGTATTTTACAGGTTCTTTGTTATTGTTTAGCACTGTTTGTACATAGATATCCTAATGTGTGTATTTGTTCTTCCATTGATGGACATTTAAGTTGTTTACATCTTTTTGCTCTTACGAATAGTGCTACAGTGAACATGGATGTGCATATGTGTGTTCATATCATTTCTCCTATTTCTCTGGAATATATACCTAGTAGTGGGATTACTGGATCATATTGACAATCTGTTTTGTAATCAGCAGTTCACAGACTTAGTGTCAGACCAATTCTGCTGAATCCCTTGCAGAAAATAGAAGGGAGAAATTACAAGTTTATTTATATATTGTTCAGATACTAACATTAAACCAGGGTTAGTTTCTATCCTTCCAAAGCAATTGCTCTTCACAGCACGGTCACCATGCAGCCTTCACACAGGACACCCCACTTCTCATGGAGGCTTGCTGGCACTCAGGGAGCTGTTTTCTGTTCTCATTGCAGCTGCAGCCGACTCCGCTGGGTCCAGAGCATCCTGACCCAAAGCAGCAAGTCTCAGCCGGATGGGATCCTCTGTATCTTAGGTCAGTGCTGTTGTACAAGATGGGACTCAGGACTGGGGCAACCTGGCTTCCTATTCTCTGGAAAACTTTAATAATAGTCTCATTGTGAGACCCCTGTGAGTTAGTGTCCTCCCCGTCAAAGTTCCCCAGAATTCTCTTGCTGTTTTAATGAAGTGGGGTGAGATTTCTGTGAGAAAGGGAGCCTCTACATGGGGCCAGTGCATGGTGTCTCATTTCTTCCCGCAGCGACCTTACAAGGAAGCAGTGTTACTCCTGTTTCACAGGTGAAGAAACTGAGACTCTGGGAGATGACATGAACTCAGGGTCATGGGATAGAAGAATTGGGGTTTTATTTGTTCTTTAAAATTGTTTTATTTTGGAAATATGTCACATAATTTACAAATGAAAAATTTAAATAGATAATATGTGAATATATCATGGAAAGCAATTATTTTGTTGTTGTTCAAATCATTTTATTGGGGGCTCTTTCAACTCTTAGCACAATCCATACTTGTGATTTTTATGGCTCCATTATCTATACTTTAAAAAAGTATAGATTTTATTGGGAGCTCTTACAGATATAACATTCCATAGTTCAATCATATCAAACAGTACTGTACAATTGTTACCAGTCAGTTTCAAAGCATTTTCTGAAAGCAATTCTTAACCATGACAGGTACCCAGTTAACCCCCAGAGATAACATTGTCAACTGCACCCTTAAAAAAAGTACAAATGGAACCGTGCTGTAATACTGTTGTTAACCTTGTATTTGTCTGCCCATTCTGGCTCCACCATGACAATCACTCTGAGAGGTCCTTTATGTTGGACTTCGATTGATCACATTCTTTATGTCCTCTTCATTTATGTTCTTAGTGTTGAGTAGTGGAGGTATGGTAATTAAGTCAGGTGGTTTGTCGTCAGCCACCCAGTTTTCTTCTTTGAAGCAAATGTCTCTATTAGTTTTTTTTGTTTGTCCTCAGACACATGTGAATTTATGAGAGGCAGTATTCAGAGTAGTTGAAAACATGGACTGGCTGTTTTAAAGAAAAAAATCAAGACAAAGGTCTTCATACCCAAGGAAACAGACTTCGATGGTTACCAAGTGGGGTGGGAAGGGAAGATAAAGCACTAGAGGGCAGATTGGTGTGTTAACTTGGCTGAAGGGGAAGAGAGTATTCCCTAAGAGAGAGACTAGAAAACAAAGGACGACGGTAGGGCAAGCTTTTGAGTTTGCTAAGTAGTTTAAGTCGTTTAATACAAAATTGATTATCTGAAATGTAAAGCCCCACCTAATTCACAATAAAATATTACTTAAAACAAAAAAAACGTGAACTCTGGTGCCAGGTAGGTTTTGGGTTTGAGCCCCAGCTCCGTTACTCCCTTAACCCAAGAAACTGGTGAGTCTCTGGAGAGGCAATTCGTGGTAGAACTGGTATTCAAGCCAAAGGCTTCAAATGCTTAAACAAGTGGCTCTCTAACTCACTCATCAAATTCTCTTAGCTGTTGTCATCGGGAAGATGGAAGCTCAATTCGCTATGAATATACCCTAAAACTCACTGCCATCAAGTTGATTCCTGCTCACAGCAACCCTGTAGTACATAGTCCACTGGTTATATAATTGTGTAGCCTTTTCAACTTTCGGTCCTGGATAGAGCCAAGCCATTCCTGCTTTTGATTCTTTTTCACTTTTACTTTCATGAGACTGAGGCACCATGGTGAGACGGTGCGTCTAGTGATGGGCTATAAACTGAAAGTTGGCAGTTTGAGCCACTCGCTCCATGGGAGAAAGATGAAGCAATGCTTCCATACATGTTTGCTATCTGGGAAGTTCTTTGGGGTAGTTCTACTGTGTCCCGTGGCAGGAGGTTTCACACAAGTGTTGAATGGGATAGAACAAAGCTGTGCTGTTTGGATCTTGGCTGAGAGAGGAGCCCTCCCATTTCCTAAGTTTCTATCATATGCAGCCCCTAGCACCCTCTCTTACTTGTCTCTGGTCTCAATGTCTAGTCTCAGTTCTCTCCAGTCTCCAGTTGAATTTCCATTCTTGGAACTCCCTTTTGCTTCAAAGAAACAGCGACCTACTGGCCTTGACACATATCTCTTGCCTGTACTTACAGTTAAGGGCCTTTACCCAGGAACCAGGTAGTATGTATTGCCCGAGCTGTTGAAGTAGTAGTGAAGATAGTATCATTTAATTTCCTTTTCATTTGTCCCTAACTCAGTTCCACTGAACTCGTGGTAGTCATGCTCCCTACTTCCTCCAGCATGCAACACAGAGCTCCACCTCAAGCCGTAGAAATCCTTATGAAATGAAGGTGTTTATGGTTTCATAGTTTTCTTGGGTCCAGCCCACCTTAAATGTCTTTATTTGATCGTATGTGTTTGTTTGGTTTTTTAAAGATCTCTTTGAAAAAGAAATATCTTTGTGATCCTTACTCAAGGATCCTTGTGGCTCAGTGATCAAGTGCTTGGCCATTAACAAAAAGGGCAGCAATAAGAACCCACTAGCTGTTCCACGGGAGACGGATGTGGTGGTCAGTTTCCATAAAGACTTACAACTTTGGAAACCATATGAGGACACTTCTGCTCTGCCCTGTCAAGTCAGCATGAGCCAACATCAACTTGATGTCAATGGGGTTGAATTGTGTTTTGTTTTGCTTACCTAATATATCAAAGAATATTGGCAGAGTGAGACCACATCTTCTGGTTCTATCCTCAAGATTTGCTTTTTGAAAATAAGTGTTTCAGTGATCTGTACTGTTGGCTTTTCGCAACTCTTAAATTTATGAATCCATGTTAGGACACTTGATGCTAAGACTTTTTTTCACAGAGAGTTGCCTCCTTTGGTTTCTGGTACAAAATCAAAGGCCTTTAACGGTGACCATCAAGGTTTTGCAGAGCGAGAGCAAGTGATTTAGGCTCATTTTCCCCCAGGGTATATAGTACAGCTCATCAGAGCCCTCTTTGCTTTGCAGGAATCGATAGCAGGTACAATGAAGGCTGCAGAGAGCTGGCAAATTACCTCCTGTTTGGTTTGTACAATCAGAATGGCAGTGATTTTGAGAAGACCGGGTTTTCAGAAGAAGTTCTAGATGGTAAGTATATTTGGAGAAATGCAGCGTGTAGGTAACTTATTTTTTCTGGTCCTTATCTCTTAGTCTTTTTCTGGGAAACTATAATGAAGTTTTAAACAGCCTAAACCCCAGTAAATTTTTTTTTTGCCTTTTATTAACAAAAACATTATTTCTTCTTTGCTGGTATTTTAAGTAACCTCCTCTCGTTAGTCATATGGTTGATAACAAAGAATAAGGGACAAGTTATTTTGAGAACATATTTACTGAGTAAACAAGCTTTAGGGAAAAAAAGTAGATACAGGAATCGCTGTTCGACTTAATAACTTCTGGCAAGATTATCTGTCTGTCTGTCTCTCCCTTTACAATTATGGGATTTAGGGAAGTTAAGTTATAATTCAGGATCAGAAATATTAAAGGACGCAGTTCTTTTGTCTGCAATGCCAGGGTTTTCCCTTAAGTGCCTACTGCATCTACATGCTGGGAGGCTTGGATTGTGGGCTCTTGTCCTTTGAAAATACTTAGAGTTGTGAGTCAAGGGTGAGCCTGCAGGCTATGCCTACAAGGACGACTTCTGTGGCTCCTCAGCTTAGAAATAAAGGCTCTTTGCCCTGCTTTGTCTTTGGGGATTATTTTCTGTGTGACTTTAATTCATGACGCTGCCTATGACTACAGTACTGACTTTCTGCCTGCATTCCCCTTTCCTCAGCTCTGAGACACTCGTCCTGTGTTGCTGCTGTTGCCCAGGAGCCATCTCTGATATCGCATACTTAACATCATGCCTTGTCTGCCAGATGGGGCAGGAGACACAGGAATAGACAAACAGAACTAGGCAGAAGACAGGCAGCCCTTGTGAAGCAGCTGTGGGAGAATGAAAGCAAACAGCTGATGTTGAAATAATCTGCAGGGTTTTCAAGGAGTGGGGGGAGAGTTTGCCCCCCCCACCCGGGGGGACATTTGGCAGTATCCGGAGACATTTTATTGTTATCCCGGGGCAAGGATGCTACTGGCACTAGTGATGAGAGGACGTGGATGCCTGCTGACCCTCCCGCAGTGTACAGGCAGCACCCAGCAACCTGGAATTATCTGCTCTAAACGCCCAATAGTGCTGAAATTGAGAACCCCTGCCCTGGTGTATGGGAAATTTCTGCTGCGGTAAATTCTTTCCTTTAATGGTGTTTGCTCTTTTAGCTTGATAAAAGACTTCCTGTTTATTAGGAACTGCAGGAAGGGTAGTCTATAATTTGCCTTAAATTTTTTTCAATCCAAATTTAGTTTCAGATTTTAAATTTCAAAGACAGTTCCTAAATATAAATTATAGACTAGAAAACGGATTTGCTCTATAAGTCTTCACCCAGTGGACAATAAAAAGTTTTGTTGTCATTTCTTAATGTTCCTAAAAAGACAATTCCCTTATAATAACTTAACAGGTCTCAAAAAAGGTGGTTCTTACTAGGTCAATTAGAGAGTTATAAAAGTACATTAGATATATAGAAAGATGTTTGTACCAGCGATACATTTCACTTCCAGTACATTGTAGACTGAACTTGAGTATAGTGTGTGTCATTTTTCTTTTGTTTATCATTCCACTATTACCTAGGTACTTACGAAATAAGCATTTTCCTAGATAGCGATTCTCAACCAGTGGGTCACAACCCCTTTGGGGGTCAAGCAACCCTTTCACAGGGGTCGCCCGATTCATAACAGTAGCAAAATTACAGTTATGAAGTAGCAATGAAGATAATTTTATGGTTGGGGGGTCACCACAACATGAACTGTATTAAAGGGTTGCAGCATTAGGAAGGTTGAGAACCACTGCTCTAGATTAAGAAACTTGTTTTGAGGACCTAATGTCGGGGGTTTAAATGGAGAGAAAATGTTTTGACAAACGATGTACAAATGCGCTTTACACAATTGATGTGTGTATGGATTGGGATAACAGTTGTATGAGCCTCTAATAAAATGTTAAAAAAAAAAAAAAGAAACTTGTTTTATACAAATCCAGGTAGCTACAGAGGTCACCAGATTTTTTATTCTTCTACATTTTTATCTCCAATTATATGAGAGAAAAAGAGTCACCAGGGATTTCTTTGTAAAAGACACTTTTAGAGTTTGTCTCTTCATCTCAATTCTGTCCCACTTTCTCCTATCACCTGTACGTTTTCAAACTTGTTCATGGGATGACAGCATCCTGCGAGGTCCTGAGGATGCTTCATTAGGTTCCGTAGGTGCTGTTGGACCCCGATTCTCCAGTATGCATGAGTGTAGGGTACAGTATACATAGGAAGCCCTCGATCGGTCGATCCCCATGAACTCTGAGTCCTCAGCAAGTGGTTCTCAAGTGATTTTGGAGAGCACGCTCTGGGAGGGGGTGTGAGGGGTGAAAGAAAGGAGACCTCTTTCTCACATCTTGCCCACTTTTTTTTCTAAGGAAAACTTTCTAAACTCATTTTTAATTTTAAAAGGGATCATTGATTTTTTTCAATAAGTCTAAAATCTCTGTGTAAAATACCTTGTTCATTAGCATACCCAACCTTTTCTTATTCAGAATAGAGAAATCATGTACTTGCTAACCTAGAGACCCAAGAAGTGTCTTGCTAGACATTGTTTAAGCCTGATTGACATATAATTCATGGACCATACAATTCCATGGATTACTTTCGTTAAAAGAATTGTGCATACTTGTCCACTGTGAACTGCAGCCCTGACTCAAGAATCTGCAGTGAAGCGCCTGCTGCATGCTGGCTGCCCTAGGACACATGCATGCTTCCAGGGGTGGAGCCCAGAGTGGCTTAAAAAGCCAGTGTCAAGAGGCAAGCGAATTTTGGGAATAATGAGGGCAACAAATGTATAG